CGATGTGCCTTATTATGGAAATAGAACTGATAGCAATTATGACGTAGTTTTATAGCCTAATAGTTGTATCAAATTGAGGAGCCCAGAATCGTCTCATCTGCTTAATGTCTCCAGAGATTTGCAGCTTTATGATGTCTGGGAACTGTTTTAAATATCAACTGTCGCTAACAGAAATCCGTTTGTTTGTGTCTGCCATTGATCGATATTCAGAACTTTTCACTTTTTCAGCAAATTTTGTATTGTCTCTGTATATATCGCATGGCGGACGACGGCTTTCGGCATGTGGAACCGCAGCTAAAGTTTTTTATTCCTCCGACACGAAAGACAACGGCCTTTCGAACAGCCTCCTGTGCCGCCACTGTGCAGTCTTCGACACAGCATGGCGGAGTCCAAAAACGTTCTGTTTTCAGCGGACACCGCCAATACAGTGATTTTAAAAATGCTGCAAATCCCACTCTGAGGAGCTCTGCGGCTTCTCAGAGTAGCAGTCAGCGGTCGGTGCATTTTCATCCTGAGGGAAGTGCTGCTGAGAGCGGAAGCAGCCGAGACATCTTTTCGTCCGCAATTTTCCACAATGTTAAACGTCAGTTGGAATATTCGCTGAGTGATTCGCTGAGGCGACGTGCGAATGGCGGAATTCGTCGTGCAACAGGGAGCTTGCAGCATGCGACCAGAAGTTTGAGCGATGCAACTGGCAGTTTTCGACCGCAGTGGCAGCGTGCCTCGGTGCCTGCAGCCAGAAGTGTTCGGCTTAAGATGAACGAGATTTCCAGCAAGCTGTCGCTCCCGAAATTTTTCGTGAATCGTTTGGAGAATACTGAAAATGGTAAATTGAGGTACCATTGGTGCTTGCTCCGTGCAAATAAATCACTGTTGAGCGGATAATTTGCGGTGGCGTACTCAGTTCTTAATTAGGGGAATAGGCATGCTCGTGTTTTGGCGTTCAGGGGTTTCCAAGTTTTCGTGCTTCATCTGTTTTACTGGCATTTTTTGCGCTCTAGCGCTATCACAGTTTCGGTGTCGAGTCAATCGATTTCAGCCTTTTCCAGCCAATTCTGATTTCATTTTGGCTATTCTGCAAGTTTGCGCCACTTTGCTCGAAATATTTCATCTTCCCTGACCAGGCTTTGCGTTCTCGAGTCTGTTTTTCGCA